CCCCCAGTCGGCCTGCGGTGTCTTGGTGTGAAACTACCGCAAGATGCGCATCCGCTTCGACGACGCCATGAGCGAATCCAATGCCTTGATCCTCCAGGAATGGAAGGCCATGGGCACTGCCCGTCGCCTGCAAGAGAACAACGACCAGCTTCTCGAACTGCTGCTCGACTTCAACGAGCAACCGCGCGTCAATCCACGCATGCGCTACGACCTGCGCCAACTGTCGGCCGCAGACACAGCTGTTCCCAGCTCAGAAGCCGCGCCAGACAGAGAAAGTGTCAAAGCGCAGTTGCAGATGCTCAGCGAAGACGTGGCGGCAGGGCGCATCTCAGCCCAAGACTACACCCTCAAGGCAGATCACCTCCACCGCTCACAAGCACTACAACAAACCCTCGCCTCCCTCGCCTCCCTCGAGGCCACTGTCCCACACACCACCCGCGCCGACCTCCCCGAACACCCCATCGACGGCATCGACCTGACCGCCCATGCCCCAGGCTACATGTCCCCCACCCATGAAGAAGAATATCTCCTCGCCACCGACACCGTTCTCAACGAACCCGGCTTCGACCCGAGCCTCCAAAACGGCCGCCCCATGCGCCTCTCCAGCGCCCACCCTCCCCTCGGCGAAAAAGACCTCACCATCAGAAACCCAGATAGCGTCTACAACTGGCTCCGCAAACACCAACCCCAAGTCTTCCTGCAAGACAAAGACGCCGTCGCCCACGCCGAAAACCTGTCGGACAAAAGCGCGCCCAAAGCCGGCGCGACCGCTACAGGCAACTCCGCCGCCGCCGCTGCCGCCTCCAGCACTAGCAAGAAAAGCAAACGCGAATCCGCCGCCGCTGCTCATGCACTCGGTACCCCTGGCCCACGCGACCCCGCCGACGATGACGACTCGACCGCCCACGAAACCGCAAAGACGAGGCGGAAACCGGCTGGCGCCAATGCAGACGACGACTCGACCTATCGTCCCAAGGGCGGCTCCAGTCGCCCGTCGAAACGGAAGCGCGAGGATGGCGATACGCCCAGCGGGAAGGGGAAAAAGAAGAGTCGCGCCAGTGTGGCGGCGAGTACGGCGGTGGGCGGGAGTGCGGCTGGGTAGTCTGACGTCTCTTCAGTCTCGACGGGTTCTGCTTCTGTGTTTGTGTCTGTATTACTAGGTTGAAATTTGGAGGCGAGGGGGGAAAGGGGTGCAGGACTGGTACTGGTAACCATTACTGTCCTCCTCGCTGGCTTGAGATCCACGGCGTTTCCATTTCCATCCCGGAGTTTTTTTTTCCGTTTCTGGTCGTCTGATGGGGGCTGGGCATTTGGTCAAAGGAATTAACGGCGGTTAAATGGTTATTTGTCCCTTGGTTGTTGTTATTTTTTTTTGGTAGGGGTGGGGGTAGAGAGTTTTGGTGATGGAGATGATTTCGGTCGAGTAATTGAATATATACCACCGCAGAATGGAATGCAAAGGGGGCTGTTTTCAGAGGCTTTGGGTTGGAAAACTAGGCTTTGATATCGTTTGTCATGGTCGTCCCTTTCTTTTTGCAGAATATGATTCTTTTTTTTTTTGGTTTGAAAAGAACACTTTGTCTTTGTACACTTCTTTTGCTTTACAGGAGAGAGCAATGGTCATGTCCTATGTAAACATGGCCCCGTTCATGATATCTACAAGTGTACCATCCCCCTTCCCCCCCCCCCAAAAAAACAAAGAACCGCATCTACCTCTTCCTCCCCGCCTCCACCAAAACCGGCTCCTCCACAGGATTCAAAAACGGCAAACTCGTCTCAATCACCCTCTTCCCATCCACAACACGACCATTCCCCATCCGCTCATCCTCCAAGCTCTCCCTCTCCCTCCTGCGGCGCTCAAGCTCCCTCTTGCGCTCGGGCGTCACAGCCCATGCGTTCGGAAACTCGGCCCTCCGCTTGACCTTGACATGGCGAAAGTCAAACGGCACATTGTCAAACGAGTCGCTGGCATCCTGGGCGGCGGCGACCAGCTTGGCAATGGTCTGGCCGAGGAAGCGCTTGTTTTGGGCCTGGGTGGTGTGGCTGTCACACGAGAGTTTGACGGATTGCGTGTTTGGGTTGTACCGCGGACCCGCGATTTTGATGAGTTTAGTGATTTGAGGGGGGGTGAGGTGGAGGGTTGGGGAGGGGTGGAGGGAGAGGTCTTGGGGGGAGAATTCGACGACGACTTTGTTGGAGGCGGGGTGGGATTCGCCGAGGTACGAGGTGTAGCGGAAGCGGAAGGGGGTTGATTCTGTGGGGGGTTCGAAGGGACGAGCGAGTTCTGTTTTGTTTGGGGGGGTGGGGTTAGTTGGGGTTCATTTGGTAGATTGCGAGATGTGGGACGGGAGGCGAGGATGATAAGACGTACGACTCAACAGTGGCAGCTCCCATGCAATCAACCTCGCGTATTCCCTGATATCCCGTTGTTTCTGCAATTCGCCGTGTCCGTGGCTCGTCAGATCGTCGCCGAAATAGTCTTCGTCTACGCCCATTGTCTCATCGCCTTCGGCCCAGAATCCCGTCTTCACTTTGCGCTTGTCTTCCTCTTCAATGTCAAAGTCCTCGTCAGTTTCGAGCTCGAAGCCAGTGCCGAAAGGAACGCCTTGTTTGCCTTTACGGATGGCGTCGGCGACAACCGTGGGGTCGAGTTCAGCGAGGTTGGCGTGGAGCGTGTCGAGCATGGCGGCTTCGCGCTCGGCTTCAGTCAATGGTGCCTTTTTCTGGGCTGCTGATGGCTTTTCTGCTCCTGTAGATGCATTCGTAGGGGAAGTATTGGCAGTGGGAGTTGCTGCGCCCGTCTTTGCATCTTCATCTGCACATCGTGGTGCCGTGATTGATAGAGGCCGCTGCCATTGCGATATGCGTTGAGGTGCCCGTATCCGCAAAGGGCCTTGTCGTGATTGCAAGAGCAACCGCCGTGGTATCGAAGCCATCTGGACTGACGTTGCCCTAATTTTGATGCCACCGCCGTCAATCTTTTTGCGGTAACAACCTCAGGTCGCTGGCTCTCAGAGAGGCTTGGCGCGGAGGAGCAAAGTGTGACCGAACACCGGCGGACCAATCCCGTGGTCATGTGGCCGACCTCCGCCCTTGACATGATGTCTGGAGCTTCCTCATCTTGAAACGACCCAATTTGAATCTATTTTGGAGAGATAGTACGTGACTTGGTTCGACTTTATAGCTCTTCAATTCGGCTGTACAGCCTTCGGAGCGAATACAATGGCCGCACAAACGACCGCATCCACCATGTCACAAGCGTGGAACTGGACACCTGACTCGAAGTTATGCCTCATTACTACAGGAGCCACAGCGCCTTTTACTGTACTCATTGAATCAGTACTCAGTCCTTCTACTATCGATACCATTCAGAGTCTCGGCTTTACTCATGTGCTGGTTCAATACGGGAGCGCCAAGGACGTCTACACCTCTAGCCTCGAAGGCGCTCGAGCTCATCTGCAACAAGTCGAGCAGAAAAGACCGCTGGTAATTGATGGGATCGACTTTGACCCGAACAGTCTGCAATCGCAGTTTACATTGGTACAACAGTCAAAGGGCCTGGTCATTTCCCACGCAGGTATGCATTCTTCATGTTGTGCTTCATAGGAAGCAACACTAATGTGGCTAGGATCTGGAACGATACTGGCAGCATTGCGGTACCAAGTCCCGTTGGTGGTGGTACCGAACACTGATCTCCTTGACAACCATCAGGAGGAGCTTGCTGTTGCAATGGAGCGGCAGAATTACCTTGTCCGAGGTGATGTCAGGTATGTCTTTCTAGATGTTAAAATACACCACAGCTAACAAACTTTTAGAGACTTGACGCCAGCCTTGATCAAAAGCGAGGAATTCCGTGTCAAGATGACACAGTTTCCGCCTATCACTAGTGGGAAACACCGCGAAACCAAGAGTTTTGCTGCCATTATGGATGAAACCGTTGGGTTCCTAGATTGAGATCAACCGTTCTCCTCGGACCAACATCGACGAAAGCGCGTAATGTAACAGGGAGGCTTGATTTACTGAAATCGTTCACTCTGACCACGGTGATAAAATCACCTCCCCTGCTCATAAGTTACAAGATCTAGAAGTATCAGGGGTGGACCAAGCTGTCCCAGGTTTGAGCTCAGCCTACCAATCCGATCTTGCATACTACACACATAGCATCCGGAATCCCCCTCCGAAGCCGCAGGTCAAGAATTCCACAATCGACGCAATAAGAAATCATGCACCACCATTTGTACGTGGTGATAGGCCACAATTGCCCTTTTGGTAATCTTGATGGTTCTGCTGACTGCGCTGCACATCGACCTGCAGAAGGTTAGCGCCCTCTTCTCCCGCTTCTTGTGCCACCAGTTTCTGGTATGGTTTCTCCTCGATATCGCTTCGCTGCGTCATGTTCCTGTCTAGACGTGGACACCCGAACCTGTGCCTGTAGGTAGCTTCTTTTATGTACAACCATGCGCTCCGCACTATCAAGCGTGCTGCCCAAAGAGGTGGAACTGCAGGCATACTGTTCGGGTCCTCAGATGGGATTGCCTGTATCGTGGGATCTTGGAAGGAACAGTTCACAGGTGTACATGGAGCATATCAAGCACATTTTCAGGCAGTGCAACACCATTACAAGGGCAACGTGTGCAGTTCCGACGTGCATGGCATCTATGCAGCAAGACCGTGGCGGATACCCACCAGTCACTTCCCACTTGTCACTAGTAATCACGTCTGCACTTTCCTGATTCCGATGTGTGTACAAAGAGCTATTAGGGGAGATAGAGCGACACAATAGTCTCGTTGCCATCAAAACTACACTCGATTCGAACCTCAGTTTTGGTTCCCTTTATACCCACACCTCACCTACTACCAGTGACTGGTTTCTTTAAACAGGACTCCGTTTGCGAAAAACTATCTCTCAATCCTTTAGCTAGACCGTGATCTACCTTCGGACTGCATTTACTACATTGCCGTCCTTACGATGCTCTCACACTCCTTCTTTACCGCAGCCATCGCCGCTGCAGCTTGCATCAATGCTGCTCCGGCTGAGTATGTCAAGAGTATTCTATGTGCTTCTTCGCTTACAAAGTGTTCAAAAGCTTCCAAGAACGAGGCGTCGACTTCAAATGGGGCAGGGACACAGTCCGCGGCGTCAATATCGGTGGTTGGCTAGTCCTTGAGCCGTAGGATTTGCATTTCGTCAAGACGTCTCTTGTGCTAACAGGCCTAGATTCATCACTCCTTCCCTTTTCGAAAAGTACAGCACGTCGGATTGGCTCGTGGTGGACGAGTGGACACTGTGCGAGAAGGTGGGCCAGTCGAACTGTGCCGAAGCTATGAAGCCACATTGGGATAGCTTTGTCTCCATCGACGACTTCTGGAAGATCAAGCAGGCAGGCTTCAACATCGTTCGAATTCCTGTTGGGTAAGAATTTCCGATTTGCCCTCTACTCCCCACATAGCCACTGACTACCAATCAAGATACTGGAGCTACGTAGAACCGTGGGGACCGTATGCCCAAGGTGCGGCGGTATACCTCGACGCTGCCATCGACTGGGCTCGCGAAACCGGCCTGAAGGTCGTCATTGATCTCCATGGCGCGCCCAAATCCCAGAATGGTTTCGACCACAGTGGTCACAAAGCCGAATACCCAGCCTGGGGCGATGCTGATAGTATAAGCTACACTCATAATGTGTTGAAGGTAATTGAGACCAAATACGCAGCACCGAATATGCAAGATGTCGTTGTTGCTATACAGGTTCTCAATGAGCCTTTCTTGCAAAAGCTAGACAAAGAAGTGGTCAAGCAGTTCTACCGCGATGCCTTCTACAACTTGAGAGAAATCAGCGACACGCCTATTATGCTGCACGATGGGTTTGAGGATCCCAGCTGGATGAATGGCTTCTTGACGCCACAGGATAATGACGCGCAAGGCGTGGTGGTGGATCATCACGAGTACCAGATCTTCTCCGATGGTTCGACGAACCTGACAGTGAAAGAGCATTTAACTCTAACCTGCAATCTCGTAGGTATGTACCGTCGCCACTTAAGTGCATCACTAACACATTTCACCAGGTAAGCAACTACGAAAACTCCGATAAATGGACAAGTAAGTCGACCCTTTCACCCGCTCCATCTTATTCCAACTCTCCTCCGTTCCAACCACTTACCCAACCCCATAGTTGTAGGAGAATGGTCCGGCGCACTCACAGACTGTGCCCCCCACCTCAACGGCTTCCGCGCTGGCTCTCGCCTCGAAGGCACACTCGCCGGCACACCACCCATTGGTTCCTGCGCCGGTAAATCCGGGCCCGTTTCCTCGTGGACACAGGAGTATAAGAATGATGTCAGAAGCTATATCGAGACGCAGCTTGATGCGTTTGAAAGCAAGACGAATGGCTGGGTGTTTTGGAACTTCAAGACTGAAGGAGGCGCTGGGGAGTGGGATTTGTTTCAGTTGCTTGACGAGGGCGTTTGGCCTGTGGGAGGGAGGCAATTTGAGAGGTGGTGTAGCAACTTTTAGGTGGGCATTGGGGATGAGGATATGGGGGGAAGGAGGGTGGATGATGGATGGTTGGGCTTATGGATGTATGTTTTATAGTTGCAGCACTTTTACGGTTATATGCTATGGGCACATGCTCTTGAATGATTACGCATGTTTAATGCAAGGGCCATGTCAAGTATAGCTCTGACATCAAACAGTAAAGTCAATGCAGAAAGCTGAAGTGGGAGAAGCTGATATAAGCAGTGTGGAACATGATACCAGTTTGCGTAACGTAAAAATGAACAGGCAGAACGAAGCACCCCATTCAGCCATCCAATATGCACCAGCATGCTCGCGAACGTACATGTTGGGTTTTACCGTCATGAGCATCAACTCTAACCCGTACAGGCACAGGGAAAATTCACCGTCTGCAAAGCTCAAACAACTTGAGAATCCGACGCACATGAGTGCCCTCACATCCGTGAGATTGAACTACTCTTGATTGAAAGTAGACGCTGCTCTAGCACTACTACGAGTATCCATTTCAACTCAGCCTTGATGGTAAATTCGACATCTTCGCCATCGTTCCTCCGCACAAGGACTCTAACCGGGTTATCGCAAATCCCTTTCCCGAACGCCTATACCCATGCACGAGTCCAGCACCACATAATCCCCGCTCTTGGGATTGTGGTTCCTCCAATCATATATGCATTGTAACACATCGTTAACGCCTCCTTTCAGCCAAAAGTGCAAACAAAAAAGAGAGATCTCCAGACTCCTTGCAGGAATTCCCGGTCCGTGCGTCCCTTGCGTTGTTATCTTCTCGCGACTGCAAATTGCCGTTTTCGATTCGCCATGTCGCAGATTCATCGGGAAAGGCGTATTGATGTTAATACCAAGTTTAGTTACGGATGACGAAAGGCTTTTCAATCCCAGGCTCGAGTGCCCTCGCTGGAGGACCGGTCGCGGGCGGGTACTGCGGTGTAAGAAGCGCGGTTTGAGCGGAGTTTTCGGTAGAGGAGCGCGGTGATGGCGGCGCAGAGGAGCAGGAGAATGCCGATTGTGATGGCTGGGTGGTCGACGAACCAGAGGACGGTTGCGACGTCGGCGCCGTGCCAGGTGCCGCCTGGGGAGTGGCCGAAGAAGGTGTATTCTTCTGAGTAGAAGATGCGGGGGAGAACCCAGAAAACGTTGGGACCTTGGGGAGCATGTTAGTAAAGGGTGGATTGGGGGGTGGGACGTGGGAGAGAATCTAGGTCACTTACCAGCTTCTTTTTTCTTGCTGCCGTCGACAACTCCTGGTCTATCGGATGAGCTGTACCATTCATGGAGAATGTCAGTGGTGAAGTGCGGTCCTGTGGTCCAGAATATGGTGATGTAGGGGAAGATCCAGTTGCGGTTGTATGCAGAGAGGCGTTCAGTCATTCTCTTGAGGACAGGGTGGCGCGGCGCGGCGGCCATCAAGTCATTGTTGACACCTAGTGGGGATGCTTCTGGAAACCAGGCTGGGAAGTCGAGCAGCGGGTCCAAGTTTCGTCGACAAGCAATGTCGAGGTCCATGTAGACGCCGCCATAATGGTAGAGGGCAAAGTACTTCAATGCGTCGATCTGTTGGATAGGGTATCTGTAGTTGTCGTACGTGGGGAGGAACCAGCTGTACTCTGCTGCCAGGAGATCTCGCGCGCTGGTTGCATTCCACATGCGGATTTCGTAGTTTGGGTTGAACTTGCGGCAGAGTTCTGGTGATTGCGATCCTACCGATGGGATCTTTGTGGCGCCTTCGCGAGTCGGGTATAGGTCTTTGAACCAGATGTAATGGATGATCCTGGGAATTTGGATGTGCTTAAAGGTCGATTCATAGTCGAAGTCCTCTGGGGGTTGCTGTTTGTTGGCCACTGATTCATTGAGGACTTTTGCGTACTCTTGGGGAAAGTCGTCGAATGTGATGTTTAAAGTGTCGAGGAAGTTCTCAAACGCACGCTGTGAAGTGACATAATAGAAGGAGAACAGTAAGGAGAGGATCGCGACGCCCTTGACGATGAAGTGGCCGCGTAACATGACTGAAGAGCAACGGTGATAACAACAGCAAGGAACGAAAAGACGGTGGCAGAGGCTTCGTGACACTGAGCCAACGCAGACATATGGTTAGATTCAGCTGAACCCCTGGACCAAACTTGCTTTGGGGGCGAAAGCATGAGACTACTTCGGCACTACTCTGGATGCAGGTATCAGGCGCTCCATGAGACTGGGGGCTTGCAAGTACCTTAAGACACGAGACAAAGATGGATTAGTGTATCCCATTGCCTCGATGTGGGGAATGTGTATGCTTGGCACCTGTAGCACTGTACATTCACTCGTCGGTTTACTTACTAGTGACAGCGTGGTGAATCGACTTGTCAGATTCTTCAGTCCGGGTGAAAGCCGATTTGTTGGATCTCAGTCGGAAGTAGTGTATTGTACAGGAGCATGCGAACCGACCTTGCCTTCGGCTCTGTCTCCGTTGGACGATCTCATTGCATTCCACCCAACCAGACGCAGTGAAATTCCACATTGCACCTTATTTTAGCCCAACGGTAAAGTTATTTCTGGAACCTTGTTCTATATGGGTTTAGCCTAAGTCTGCTTGGTTCGCTAGAACCGTATTGTGAAACTGGCAAAAGGATAGTTTGGGTGGAGAGGGAGGACCGAAAGCATTCTGCGCACCGTGAGCCGTCTGACTGTGGACATGGTCGTTAGATTAATATGGGCTAGCGGGGACTCGTAGCGCTGCCTAAGCTCTCCTTAGCTACGCTTGGTGACCGCAAACAGCCAATGATACAGTGGTAATACGCTTAGGGTATCATAATTAAGTGATCGATTGGCTGTTCTTGATACTATACCGTGTTTGGCGGAATCAGGTTCTGTGGCTTGCTCCATTGATCGGCGTCGGGCGGTGTGATATGCTGGTTGCCAGCTGGTATTAGCTTCGACATGTGTCCTTGCCATCTCTGTACATAATGCTTACCCAGATAAATAAGAATGCCCTTCTTGAAGTCTGAAATCCATGGACACGGGGCTTCATGTTTGACATGTCCAGCGGGATCTAGTCCGTGACCTGGAGAATCCGGATAAATGCGCCTCGACGACCGCCTCAAAATATCGACATTTCGGCATGGCGACAGCTCAGGTGGATTCTGAAGGATTTATACCACACAGCACAAGTTCATCGCTAATTACTCGGGGTACCCACGCACTGTGTCATGCCGACATCACAAAAATTGATTTCCTCTCAAGTCATCATCAGAAATAGCCATCGGTCAAATTTCCTTTTGGCTTGCATTAGTTAGTCCACGAACTGTAATTCGCAAATACAAAGTTGACCAAGGAACTACATATATTAATATAGGTAACCATATGCTAACACTGCGGACAGTCTGGATTCACTCTTGGTTTGCTTATGTCTGCCTCTTGGGGCGCAGACGCACAAATTACACATGTAAGGAAAAGCGTGCATCCGCTGAAACCGCGACACGCTGGTCACGACTCATAAGTGGACCGTCAACTGGTACCGACACTCAGCTGATCTCTCCTCGCCGTGATCAAGTCTTGACTCGGCTACGAGCACAGCCATGGAGCATAGGAACTTTGCAAGGACATTTCAACACTGGAACAATCATTCCACGGCTACGACTGCTCTTACGTAAATAAGTCGAGCGAGCGCGAGCGGCGGTACCGGTACAGCTGCACACGGCAGGTCGCCTGAACGACCAAGCTGAATGGATGCGGAAGAATATCGTTCTGGCCGATAAACATGGATGGCAAGTGAGCGCAGATCTCTACATCATAACATGAGATAGAAGTTTACACACCACTTTGCCTTCGATCGCGATTACCGCTGAAATACGCCACCGATGACACACCCAATGTGCGGCCCTCGATTTGCGGTCCTTCGATACATCACGACCTATGCGCTTGCGACGTGGACAACGGAGTATCGCCCAGAAGAAACTCTAGTGCATACGCGCCATCTCTTCCCAGCCTGCCTGGCGGCTCAGAGTCACCGATCCAGATACTCTAAGTGCACAAGTAAAGTCCAGGCTATCGCAACATACGAGTGGAAACATCGCCGGTACAAAAAGGCAAGGGTTTCCAACGCTTACAAACATCCGGAGGACCGCCAGGAACGTCTACACAAAGATGTTGTTCCTTGTTGCAATGCTGATGCGCCAAGGACAAGCCTATGAAACTCGCCTGCGGGCTCTAGTGCAGCGTAACAAATCTTGACACCGATCATGACATAAAAATGATATCCTGTTTCAGACCACGATCAGACGAGGGTATGCATTTATAGCATGGTCAAAAGTCGAAGCAACGGAATTACCAATCCGGGCGGACTGTAGAGCATTATGCCACAAACAACCATCAACACTCATAGGATCGCAGTAAGTCGCTGGGCTCGGGTGAACTGGCACAGGCGCTTCTGTTGTTATCTTGATGAAGGTTGTATCGCTAAAGATGAATGGACGGTACAATGTAGAGATTGTACCGATACGTGATGTACGAGGCGTTGCCAGCCGAGAGAAACAGACTCGTGAGTATCAAGTCAACTACAACCTTGTCCTTGGTTGCCAGGCATCACCCTCGACTTGAAAGATTGTCGAGAAAGAGGCAAAAGAAAGTGCCCAATTCTTTGGCGCTCAAAAGATTTTTGTAAATGGTGTTGCTTAGATGCATCTCGAACACTCTTACTGTGTTCTGCGAACCTGCTGACCCGAAAGGCACCACATCTACCTCACAAAAATGCAAGTCGGCCTCCGGTTTCCATCCTGTACAAGATAGAGCGTGCACAAGGCGCGATATTGACAATGTTGTAGTCGCATAGCTCAGTCGTCAGCTGACAATACACCCCAAAGTTGCAGCCTGGAGACTTCTCACCCGGAGCTGGCCGGGCCATTTTAAGACACGACCGGGTGTTCCAGGAACGAGGGAACAAAGCACACTCATCCATCCTACGATTGCGATGCAAAGTAGGAATACTTGCTGACTGCAAGTATGTCATGAGACATTTGGATTTTCAGCCTTCTTGCCGTCAGCGTGAACGGGCGAGCAGTGGCTGCCTATTCCGCTCTCTCCACGAAACAATTTATACAACCTTTTCCCTACCTTTTCACATTTCATTCTAATGCGTTCTATACACTCATATACTATGTCTCTGGCACCTGCATCCGCCTCAACCTCCTCTTTCCCCTCTCCCAACCCCAACCGTACACATTCCTTCCCATGCCGATTCCTCCTCGACAACTCCACCTCGTCCATCCTCACACTCCCCTCAGGCCGAAAACTAAGCTATGCACAGTACGGCGATCCAAACGGAAAGCCTGTTTTCTTCTTCCATGGTCTACCCGGTTCCCGTCTCGAAGGCACATACTTCGACGACCTAGGCAAAGAGCTAGGAGCCAGGATCATCTCACCCGACCGTCCAGGATGTGGACAGAGTACGCCGCAGCCGGGCAGAGGGTTACTGGACTGGCCCAAGGATGTGGAGGCACTGGCTGAACATTTAAAGTTGGCTGAATACTCAATCATGGTATGTTTGCTACCACACATACACTTCCGACCTCTTCCCTTGTTCGTCATCCTCATATTGTTCGTCATCCTCTTATTGTTTTTGGTAAAGCATGATGCTTGATGCTATAAAAAGCACACCGAATCATCCCTCACAATACCCAGGGTGCCTCAGGCGGCGGTCCCTACGTCCTATCATGCGCGTACGCGCTCCCAACACAGGCCCTTAAATCCGCAACAATCATCTGCGGTCTCGGACCACCAGACATAGGCATGCGTGGCGCAGGCATCTTTCACCGTCTCGGGATCCCCTATGGCTGGCGCTGGTCCCCTACCTTTCTTCTCCGCTGGTTTCTCGAACTCGACCCCACGTACCGTGTGCATCTCCCCGAGTCCACGCGCCTAGAGCTGAAGTTGAGGCCGACTGAACTAGCCAAGGTGAAGCATCCCAAGGATAAAGCGTTATCTGTAGATGGGGATTTGGTGAGGATGGGGATTCGGGATGTTAGTGAGGCGTTGGCGCAGGGGCTGGGGGTGGCAAGGGAGGATGCGAAGGGGGTTTGTGAAGCGTGGCCATTTCGGGTAGAGGATATTAAGGAGGACTTGAAGGTCAAGTTGTGGTATGGAAAAGAGGATGTTTTCGTGCCTATTGTTCATGGGGAGCAGATTGCAGCGCGATTGGGGGGAAGGGCCGAGTGTCGTTTTGAGAAGGATACGCATAGCAGCATTTTCTTTGGTTGGAGGAGAGAGATTTTGGAGAGTATACTGAGGGATATGTAGGGGGGTGGGGAAAAAAGGAAGGGTGGAATGGGGGTGTCGCTACTCAATCTCGGTTCTATGTACCTACGCTTTTGCGGCAAGTTTCAAGGACTTGTAAAGACCCCCAACTTAATCATACAATAACCTGCGAGGTCGAAATCCATACAGACGATATGAATAGAATGGTATCCACCGGCACCTGACGACCGCGTAGCATGAACGCTGTCTAGGCAATGGATAGTATGGACGCGGTGAATCGGGAAAATAAACGAAGTACTTTGATATCGTCGCTCGCTGAACATCATCACAGATACCAAGATGAACATTGCAACAAGCCTGGAATAATTCATCCAGTCCACAAAGCAACTACACCGGCATACTAACACCAAACCACCACCACAATGCACATACACACCAACCCATTCTCCAAGCCCCATCACCACCACAGCCTCCATAAAACACCCCCGAAACCCCGCCTCAAAACCCAGCACTCCATACCACCACACCCAAACACCACGGCGAGCGCCTCCCTCCCGCACGCCAATGTTGCAGAGCACCCAACCCACCATTCTCCCGCGGCAAAAAAGCAGGAAAAACATTTATCCCCCACAACCCCAACCTCTGCACACCAAAAAAAAAACTCGGCAATTCATCCCCGTCTCGCGGCATCGGCATCGGCACCCTCGCGGTAATTCTCCCGTCTCGGAGCTCTCAGAAAAGTAGTGTCGGTGTGGGAGTTCCGCATCTGTGCTTCAACGTGACGGTTTAGCAAGACGGTAGAGCTTGTGAGTAAATGCGTTTGCGCATGGAATTATGGCGGTGGCTTCTAATAGCAATCGAGAACTTCAACCTGCGGTCACGACGTTATCGACGGATGGTGTGCCGATGGTAGAGAGAGCATTTTGGAGCAATTGGCGACGCCTACTCCCACGCCCACGCCCACGCCGACGTACACACAGCACATGCGAGTGCTGGGAAAGAGGTGGAGATGGGTGTATCACATACCGATACGAGCAGCAGCAATGCGCCCGGTCTACCGTTCTCCCGGGCACGATGTGTAGCGCTCGTTGCGTCGATTGCTGCTGCGCCGTTTTTGAGCGTGAGTTTGCTTGTTCATTGTTTACATGGTGTTACCTTATCCTTTCCCTTCCCTCATCGTTGTAAGCTTCTTAGTCTGGAGGGGTGGGAGGAAGGGAAGATGAAGCGAGCAGTGAACACCGTGCTGATTTGAAGATAATGCCAATCTAGACAATGTCCGTACAGGCTACAGTGATCATCCTACCCACGATAGGCGAGGCCCTGGGTGTACCAACGAGTCGCCAGCAGTGGATCGTGAGTGCGTATAATCTGACATTTGGTTGTTTTCTGGTACGTTAATTTACATGATGGCCTCAACCCCGACGTCGAAACCCCCCCCTTGCTAATCAGTGCATGGTTATATAGCTACTGTGGGGTCGACTAGCCGGTAAGTATCGACATCTAATCACAGGGGCAGCCTGGCTGCAATTCCAATTCCGGGTGTTTGCTGATGTATATGCAGATGTATATGGCAAGCGCATGATCTTCCTGTGGGGATCGGCTGCGTTCACGCTAACGTCGGTGATACCGCCTTTTATCACGGAGGAGATTGCGTTTGATGTGTTGCGTGGATTGCAGGGTCTTGCGGCTGCGGCTATGGCACCGACGGCGCTGGGGATCTTGGGGAATACGTTTCCCCCTGGCAAGGCAAAGGATATTGCGTTTGGGTGCTTTGGGGCTGGCGCGCCATTGGGTAGTAGGTCCATTTCGACTATTGGGGACTGCAAGAAGAGGAGTTTGTCTTTCTGACGAAGGTTAGGTATTCTTGGGAATATTTTTGGGGGTGTCGTGGGCGAGTATTTGTCTTGGAAATGGGTGTTTTGGATCTTTGGAATCGTGTCTGCCATCTCGACGGTTGCGAGTTATTTGGTAATTCCTGTTCCTCCGACCAAACCTGAGCCGGTTGTGCGCAACACTGTCGACTGGATCGGTGGCAGCATCATCACCATTGGCCTTGTCATTCTCCTCTTCGCACTGTCGGAAGGTAATGTGGTCGGTTGGGCAACGCCCTGGGTTCCCGTTCTCATCGTCGTTTCACTCATCTTGGTCGTCCTATTCGGCCTCTGGCAATACTACCTTGAAAGGAAGACGCAAAGACGGCCGCTGATGAAACTCTCCATCTTCAAAAACGACAAGTTTACTGCTGCGAATGTCCTCATGGCTCTATTTTTCTCCTCCTTCAACAACTATCTCATCTTCGCAACCTATTGGTTCCAAGACTTCCAGGACCTCTCCGTCATTCAGACGACGATACGCTTCATTCCAACCGGCGTCACCGGTGTCCTAGTCGCTACGATCACGGGGCAGATTCTCTCACGGATCCCTGGCGATATCATTTTGACGTTCAGTACAATATGTGTCAGCATTTCCTCACTGCTGTTCGCCATCCCGATTCCTGCGCATACCTCCTACTGGGCATACGGGTTTCCCGCCATGGTCTTATCAGTGTGCGGCGCAGACACCATCTTTCCCGTCCTAACGCTCTTTGTGGCGAAGACACTGCCCCCAGAGGACGCGTCTCTAGGTGGTGCACTGATCACGGCTGTGGGCCAAATTGGCAGGGCAATTGGCTTGGCTATTGCTACGGCTGTTCAAACCGCTGTGATCGCCAGAGAAAAGGGGGTTAGTGTGGATCAAATCGGCAGCGAAGGCCATGGATTGGAACCATGGGACAGAGCGCTGAAGGTCGGTATTAGAAGCACAGCGTGGTTCAACTTTGGGATGAGTCTCGCCTCAACGGTGGTTGTGATGCTCTTTGTCAGGGGAATTGGGATTATAGGCGGTAAGGGGAAGAAGTAAAAATATCACCTATTTGGCGATGATTTTCACGTATTGGTCCTCAGATCATAGTAAGCATTGACCGGTTGGGGGATGATTCTGGCATGATCTCTGCGCGCTTTGGGTAGAATTTGCAGGTTATAGCTCAAGCAGATATGCCGATGAATGAGTGTCAATTCACCCCATACTTGACGTCAGTTCCCACAGCTTTCGTACAAAACCTTTGCACGTCGTGTTGCATTTTTCTTAGCTTCCGTATTAAAGCCGACTCGATGGTGTTTGAAGGGATTGCCATGCACAGTACAGCGTTGGTGCGGTCAAACTCGGTATAATACGGGAACTAGCAAGTGTGGGGACGGTGCAAAGATCCGGTGTACTACGACGGCGAGTCTGTGCATCAAAGTTTGTATGAACTTCATCCATGCTGTCAAAATCCATGCTGTCAAAAGCGCAGAAGAAACCACCGTACACAACAAGAGGGTGCAGAACTCATCATTTTCCAGTGTAACCACAGTCGCCCGACTCTGCAAGCATTTCCGTGCGCGGCAAAGCCGACTCGCCAAATCCCATCCCCACTGACTGCTCCCCGCCAAATGATGTTCTGGGATTAATGCCGAGACTACGGAGGTGGCTTTCAAAAGTTCTTGCTAGCGTATTTGTTAGCGGCTGATCTATCGGCCCGACTTTCTTGGCCCACACACACTCAATTTTGAAGCTTGTAACAAGGTAGGCGCCCTGCCTGTGAAATAAATACTACGTCATCTCCCCTGCCTGTACCACTTGGCCATGGTCCAAAAGGTACGCACGAGAATACTTAAGCTAAGTAATCCTCGCATAGTATAATATATATATCTTAGCTAAGCTTAGCCTAAGATAATAGTGCTAGACCCTAGCGCCAACCCATGAACCTTGTTCAAGTCTAGCCTAGGCATCTAGTAAGCGCTAGCTATTTTAGCCTAGCCTTGTTACAAAGCTATAGATAGTAGTAGTAATAGTCTATCTACTTAATCTTTTTGTTATAGACTGGCCTTAAGGGAGAATGCAATAAGCGTTAATAATAGTATTTAGTATCTTAAAGGAGAGATAAGCCCTCTACGCCTTTTTATAGGTGTCTAGTATATTTACTTAGTAGTAGTGTTAGACTTAGTCTATCTTATATTAAACCTAGGCTTAGGTATAAGCCTAAGTCCTTTATGTTGCAGGAGGGATATCAACCAGATCACGGAGCATCTTGACCTGATCAATCCCGATCAATCCTGGTTAATACCCCTGTATGACCCACTATCTAATTAACTGCTAGCTTACTGCTAAGTGCCTAATAAAAAGCAGGAGCTCTAGTAAGGAAGGTTTACTAATTATTTACCTTCTAGTAAGGGTAGCTAAAGCTCTATATATATAAGTCTAATTGTAGTAGATATAATCTAATAATCTATCTCCTAAATTATTCCTAACCTTAGTAATCTAAATCTCTATAGTTATAAGCCTAGTTTACGCTTTACCTTATTAAAGATTATCCTATCTATTTAAGCGTATTATTTAACTTAGATACTAAGCTAGTAAAGCTTTACTCTTTCTTTATACTATTTCTTAAGTAGAAGCTTACTTATTACTCTTCTACTATAAGCAACTAAATCCTAAAGGGGGATATCCTACTTACTAGATTAACTAACTAGCCTACCTAGTATATTTAATTTAGATACTATGCCCTAACTAAAGGGATCTAGGTAGAGGTAGACCCTAAGGCTCTAGATACTAAAAACCACTTTAAGAATAAACTAATTAAGCCTAGCATACTAATAGATATTATGCTATCTAATATAACAAGCAAGTAGTATAAACTCTAAATAGTATAGTACTAAGCTTGCTTATTAGATTAGGTATTAAAGTTATTAGTAATCTAGAACCTGACGTTTACTATAGGCTTAATAATATAGTAGATTAAGGGATTCTTACCCTAGCCTATATAGAGCTTGTTAATTAAGGAAGAGTAACCCTCTAAGCACTAATCTAAGTGCTCTGCAATAACCTAGCACTAACTAACTTAAGCGCTGTAACACTAGCAAGATTATAGTATAAAGCTTATCTTACTAAGGTAAAGATAAGTAGTTAAGATACTAATTACTAGCAAAAGGAGTAAATAATCCTATATACGTAAGCTAAGGTATATAATATTCCTAATATTAAAGGATAGCTTATAGTATAGGATTATCTTAAAGCTCTATCTACTAGGATCTTACTAGATTAGGGTTAAACTATATTTTAAAGGATTATTAAAAAGTTAGTAATAGGAGAGCTAACTTATAACCTCCTACAGGTTACTAAGATCTATTTATTACTGCTCTAAGAGAATAATATAAGATTAAGCTCTAAGGGTCCTAGAGTATTTATAATAATAGGAGCTCTACCTTCTAATTAACCTAAGAAGGAGTCTTTATACCTATATAGTAGATCCTACCTATAGAAACCTCCTAAATATAAAAATATTATTAAAGCTTAGACTAATATAGGTAACAAGCTTACTACTACTTATTAATTAGAGATTAAGAAAAAGATTAATAGGAATCTAAAATTTAAAGAGTTAAGAAAAGCTTTAATTAAGTCCTATCCTATTAATTAAGATTATAGTAGTAAGGCAAAAGAAAACGTAATTACCTATCTAGGCAGTATCTAGGCAGCACTAATTAACCCTATATTAATAGCAGAGAAAACAAACAGGATCTATTTAACTATAGACTTTAAAGCTTACGCTCTATTAAAGAGTACTATCTTTAATAATAGGGGTGCAGTGCACCTAGTTAATAATATAAGCTACCTAGAAGAAAGCTTGTTTAGATTAGTTAAATATAAGATAGTTAAAGTAGGAACTTAAGCTTTTCTAATCTTAGGTAGAGGGACTAGAGTAATCCCTAATACTCTTAATAGACTAAGAGGTCCAAAAATAGAAGATTTAGTGCTTACTAATATAGTGTTAGTAGAAGGATTTTATATAAATATTATATTAGAAGCTTAATTACTTAAAGTAGGAGTTTAGTTCCTTAGGCTAGATACTACCTTATAGTTTAGATTATTAGAAAAGAGCGTTATATTAGCTAAGTTACTGCGTAAGTTTAACTTAACTTTCCTAGAATACAAGCCCTCTACTCCTTATCTAATAATCTAAAGTATAGTGCCTAAATAACCCTAGTAATCCTAGATAACTTACCTAAGACACAATAGTAAGGAGCTTTAGCACTAATAATTAGGCTATTTAGGACCTAAGGTGCTTAAAGCTCTAGTTAAGTTAGCTATAAATATTAGGATTAAAGGAACTCCTAGGAGCAAATATAAGCACTGCGCTATTACACATGCCTAACAGGTTATATTAAGATAACTAAGGGAAAGATTACTACGTCTATACTACTAGGTATTATAAGATCTATTTAATATACTAACAGGTATAGCTTATAAGTAATAGATCTTAGTATTAAAGTGTAACTACTTAGCAAAGCTTTATACCTATCTACTATAAGCTAAAAACCTTAATAAGATTATACAGGTGTTTAAAAATTTTAAGAGCTTAATACTTAACTAATATAAGCTTAGCATAGTTAAGATTATATAAGATAATAATATTATAACGCTCCCTTAGTATAGTAAATCTTACTTTTAGATCTAGGTAGCTAATAATAGTATTAAAATTAAGAGCTTACCTGTATATACCTATAAACCTAATAGAGGAGTAGAAAGAGCAGGGCAGGAGATTATAACAAAATTAATTAAAATAAGGATTAGTGCTAACCTACTAATAAAGCTCTAGCCTAAAATTATTAAAGTAGTAACTTAGCTCTATAATATAAGCCTATCCCACGCTTATAATATAATATTACCTAATAAAGTGCTAGATTGTTAGTTTACTAGATACTTTAGGTAGTAGCAACTAGAGTAGATAAGGGAGGCAACTACTAATCTCTACCCTAATTAGAGCGGAATATACGCCTATAGCTGTTAAGCTTACCCCCTTAATAGAGATTAAGCAGCTAGGCGTTACAAGAGGGTTTTTAAGGTGAATCCTTAGGGTTATATTAGATATCTAGTAGGATACAGAGCATCTAATATATATAGGATATAGATCCCCTTACTTAATTAGATTATTATAACGTAGAATATTACCTTTAATAAGGATCTTTTCTATAAAGAGAAAGATCTAGAGTAGCTTTAATAGTTAGAAGCTTAAAAGATAGTTAATATTATTAGCAAAGATAAGATCTATAATACAGGAGAAGTATATAAAGAGCTTAATATCTTTAATTAGCTTTATATTATAGTAGAGTAATATAAGGAGTCTAGTAAGCAAGGAGGACTAAACCTAGCGCAGGAGCTAGGGGGTAGGGTAGAGCTAGAGGAGGTAGATAATTAGGCTAGCTAGCCTAGTAATTCACAACCCCCTAAGCAGACACCTCTAGCGTAAGTACTAAGTATAGCTAGCTTAGCACAAAGGATCTATATAAAGTCCCCTAAGCTAATAGGGCTCTAAACTCCTAAACTAATACTAGAACTAAACTTTAGTATAGGAAACAAAAAATCTATATAGGTTATAGATTAGGGTTATACTACCTAAGATAGTAGTAATCTAACTTACTTTAACGCCACAATAGGTAGCTCCTAGGAAAGACCTAGAGGGGAGAGTGCTATTAGTAGGTTACTCTATAAGAGTATAGAGATAGGTAAAGGCACCCTATCTAGCTCTTATAGGGGTGGTAAGTAGAGCTCCTACCTACCTGCTTTAGGACTAGATTCTATATCTCCTGCAGATCCCTTACAAGCGGTACCTAGAGCTCCTAGAAGAAGTAGAAAACTACAAGTTAAAGGACTACTACTAATACGTGTTAGTAAGCAAGCTTAGGGATAGGACCCTAATAAACTACTAGGAGGCTCTATAAGTATAGGGATATATATAGTAATAGATCTATTAGATATAGATCTAATTAGAAATCCCTTATATAATCTTTTAGTATATCCTAAACTAAATACTATAATCTACG